GATTAGTGTTAGAACTGATAGGCCTGGTGTCAGGATAATGTGACTGGGTGGGACATCATGCTACATGTCACCGACATGATGCCCCACTGCTAGATATCATTATAAACTGCCACACTGCAGACATCGTAGCCATATGATTGAAAAATTGTTAAAACTACGTCAAAAATCGAAATCACACACACACACACACACACACACACACACACACACACACACACACACACATATTGTACTTTCTGATTGATATCAATGCCGTCCTAGGGTACTCTCTGACTGATATCAATACCATCCTAGAGTAAGTTCTTATTGATAAAAATGCAATTCTAGTGTACTTTCTGATTTATATCAATGCCATTTTATGGTACTTTCTGACTGATATCTATACCATACTAGGGTACTCTGATTAATATCAATACCGTTATAGGGGACTCTTTGAGTTATATGAATGCAATCATATAGTACTCTATTACTGATATCAATGCCATCATAGGGTACTCTCTGACTAATATCAAGGCTGAGTTGGAAAAAGTTTGCAAGTGAAATTTTGTCGTATGGTAAATTTGTTTCAGGTGGTTGCATCGTCTTAAAAAGCGGCGAATCTGTGGAAAATGACACATGTTATCTAAGACCGTTGTCTGCGACTAGTGGGCGGAACGTGATTGCTATGAAGAAGGCAATTAATGAAGATGATCGATTATATTATCACATTATTTTCTCAGCATTTTGCGATAAAATAAGACTCAATTTAAGCTCCAACATTTTTTCAAAAGTATGGTCCAGCATTTGCTGATTACTGGTAAAACACAAACACGGACTGGAATCTCCAAAGCGCTCCTCGCCAGATAAGAAAAGAGTGACCAGAGACATTTATGAAATCAAATCAAGAAAAACGAATTAAGTTTGGATCTGAAAAAAAAACAACAAACGAGCAAGAACCACCAATCCCGATATACAATAACTGTCAAGGGAATTTTTGAAGCAAAAGGCTTGGTTATCCATCTACATATGCCTAACTGTTAGTCAAGGTACATTTTTATATCTCCAAAGTGTTTTCAAATGTTTTCGAACGCCTCTTAACCATCCGTTCACGCGCGGCTACAAAAAGTGTCGGTCTACTCCGCCGTCTTGTCAGACTTCCAGAAAAAGGCACAGCTACCAAACCTTTCTACATTTTCCAGACAGCCCTGAGTTAATTGAAAATGATTTTGCTGATTCTTGCTATAAAATATTTGTTGAGGGGCAGACGATTTGAAAACCGACGTGCAATTTTGCAGTGGGTCAACAACATACCAAGATTGTGAATACAAAGTAATATTTACTAATTGGAAATCCAAGACTGAGAACATGTGTAGAGGTGCAAGCGAAGTGTTTTGAGGGGAGATACTGACTTACTGTTCAGAAATAATAACTTTGTTGTACGGTGCATTAACAGTTTGAACTTTTAAATACCCATGACAAAAGAATGCAAAATGTCTGATGGTATTTATGGTATTAACATTGTGTAACGTTGTCCTTTTTGGTAAAGAGATGTTTAATTAGATTAAGCTGTCGTTATCTAGAGGATGACCTCCTTTGAGTTTATTGCCCGGTGTGAGTGAATAAATAGAACATCAACAGAGAACTGAGGAAGACTATTCAGAAGAAATAATTCAATTCGAGCTTCCTTTAGACAAGGAAAACAAAAATTTTAACCAATAACAAACTAATAGTGGCAACCGCAATTCAAACAGATTTACGTTAACAGAATTCAGTACCAGCAACATCCTGATTTGGATTTAGTTCATCATGATAACGAGTGGTGAAAAGAACACAGTGATTTTCATCACCTAGCGTCCTTTCCTTTCTTTTATCCGTGTATCAAACGTCTCTACACCTCCACGTCTATACATTGATCTTACTCTGATGTTTCTATTCTGAACGCTTCATTTCTTTCCGGACTTCCGTCCTCGGACTGTCCCCATATGTTCATAGGATCTGTTTCCTTGAATAACAAGATTGCCACTAAATCTCTATATGTAACACATTATATACGTATATAAAATTGTCTCATTTTCTTTACTCGGAAAGCATAAACTAACTATTCAAAAACGCTGCATAAATTCTGATATAATGTGACCTTAACGATTATTGGTCCTTACCAAATTAGACTGTATTTCGAGTAAAGTACAATCGTTATCTCTAGTTACAACGACCCCTGTAATATACATCCAAGTCTAACCTTACTCGATATATCATCACTCTCGCTTCCAGTGTCTGACCAAAAATTAACACGTGAGCGGTGCACATTCCCGCATCTCATGCATATCCTATCACATGACTCATTAGACATCCAACCTAGTCAGCTCCTCTCAGTAAAATACATGATCGATTACTATTGTAAAAGATTCCCTAAATTTTAGCTCAGAGCAACCCATAACCTACAAGAGTATTTAAACATTACAAAAACAGATATAAATATGCAATTATCGTTAACTCACGATAATCAGTATCGTCCTAATAGACAAAGGAAATAATTTCATTTAACCCTATGAAATCTTACACATCTGAAATTCGGATCGCATGCAATCCGTCAATTATATCAATGAACTAGTAACTGTAAAATTAAAAAAATACATTGCAAAACAGATCTCAACGAAACTGCAAAAGCGATACATATTATGAATCCTAGTCATATCAAAGACATTTGCATAAACAAAACAAATAAAAATAGAAATTGTGCGTCCTAGCACTAAACACTGTCTTTCGTACAAAACAGCCACCTGGTCCTTTTTTCTTGTTTAACGTGGAAAGTACCATTCTTTAGTTTTTTTTCCCCCGGAGTCAAATTGATGCTTGTCTTTTTTGCAGGAAAATTATTGGGGTAAAGAATTTCGACCAAGGTCGTCAGTTTTAAATTCACATTGCTTCCAAGGTGTACGTCTTGATTTAATCTGACCAATCGTAATCAACGGTTCCTAATTTTTCCTCAAGATAATTAAATCTTTTGTCAGATTTTGACAGCATCGAATCTGAGAAATACGATACATATCATCATCCCTTTGAAAGTGACTATTTGACATGGGTTCCTATCAAGCGAATATGGTCGGTAGCTCTAATGTTACTTTCCCAGGACAGAGTTGTGATGCCCGGATCAATTCTAAGAGAGCCGAAGATGCTGATCTTTCATGTTTAACATTGACATGGAAAAAAGTCTTTTTCTCAGAAAGGTCAAACATAGAAAAGCATTTTCTAATTCTCATAGACACTTTGGTTTGAATTTTTTAATTGGACCGAACACATTCAAGAAACACAAAATAGGAAATCAAAGTTTATCATTGTTAAGAGTATTACAGTTTAAGCTTAACAAAATATCTTCGAAATTGTAATTGATGTATATAAGACCATTAGCAGAATATGCCAACGTAGTTTGTGACGGTTTTAATAAGAAGAAGTGAATAAATATGGAGTACAGATTTGAAGCTGCCGGCATGATTTCTCGTTTACATTGTTAAGCATATAAAGAATATTTATATTTAGAAAAGGGTTTTATTCTTTCGAGCGAATGGAGAACCAGTCAAAACTTGCAGTTTGATAGAATTAATGGTCTACTGTTTTTGCAAGAATTGATTACTCCTTGAGAAAGCGAGATTATAGAATTTATGTTGTGGTTTGCAAAAAGCGACGAAGATAAATTTTCTCACCCAGATTTTTAAAATTATTCCTGCATTTTTGCAATATAGTTAGCAGTCAAAACATCAGTATCAATCACCTACTGTCATTACCTCCCATTTTCTACACAGGTCATCCGGTCTTGTACTCTCTTATGAAAATTCAAAGAATTATCTAAATAGAATCTAGGTAAAAAAACCGTTCTCAGAAAAGGGAAAAAAGAGAAAAGTTATAATTGTTATGTGTTGGACGGATTGAACGATTGATAGGCGTCGCAATCCACGTGCTATTATTTTGTAAATATCACGCATTAATACTTAACAGGAGACAACAGTTAAAAACTAGTTATGCCAGTTTTCATTTATTTATTTCATCCTGTACTTTTCTTTCTCAGACCCACACAGAAATGATATCCTTACTGGATTCAATACATTTAATAGGAGTTTTCTTTTCGTCATTTTTTAAAATCTGACCAAATACTTTTGACAATAGTAGAGTCTCAAAGAAGGAAAACAAAATGAGAAACACAGTGAGAGGTTTAAGCCGTTAAGCGAATTTCTCTGCATTTTTGCAATTTGTTTGAATTAATTCTGAGCTCATGCAATGCTTTTCAGGTTGTTTAATACGTAAAACTTAATTTTTGTTGCAAGGACTAGGCCCGAAATAAATCGCCAACCCGCGATAGCTAACCATCTTATTTAGGGGCATGGGTGAATCTTAATTAGGACACGCTAAGACAACAGAATCACAGGATATGATAACTTGGAGTTAAGTATAGGAAAATTGTTAAAGTGGAGACAATCCAGGTACAGTTTGTGCCATTTGAAATACATGTCATAAAATGAGTGTTTCTAGACCTAGTTATTCATTCTCCCTCGTGAAATTAGCCAGTCAAGTTGTCTTGGTGGAAGTGGGATGCCGAATACGAGATCAATATAAAGTACTTTTCTCGTTAACATTGGCCATGGGACAAGTGTCTGGACGTTGAGGGACAAAGAAAAGAGAGCTTTTGCTTCAAAGAAAAGAAAGCGAGTCTCTGAAGTACAATGACAAAATAGCTCCTTAGTGTGGGAAAAGTGTGTGTGTGTGTGTGTGTGTGTGTGTGTGTGTGTGTGTGTGATTTAGATTTTTAACGTAGTTTTAACAATTTTTCAGTCATATCGCTACAATGTCTGCAGTGTGACAGTTTATAGTGATATCTAGCATTGGGACATCATGCCGCAGACATGTGGTATGATGTCCCACCCAATCACATTATCCTGACACCAGGCCTATCAGTCCGAACACTAATCTCTTAATGCTGAGCGTCAAGCGAGGCAGCTGTTAGTATTATTTTTTGTAAGTCTTTGGTATGACTCAGCCGGGGATCGAACCCACGACCTCCCGCATCTGAGGCAGACGCTCTAACCACTAAGAAAATCAGGTTACTGTTATTAAGCCTGAAAAGCCTGGAGACATAGAGAGAATAAAATATGGGAACTCTGATCTGTTACAAAATTCGATCTGAGAGGACCTGAAGCAACCAGGTTATGATGAAACTTTAGGCAAAATGAGTTCTATCATTGATTTAAGTTAAATGATGTAATTTATTTTATCTGTATAACATAACGGCTTTTGCAATAGTATACGTTTTGTAATTCTTTATCTAAGAGAAAGTGCATAATTCAAATGACATGTTCAATTTTCATTTTATTTACATAAATGATTAAATTGTTATTTTTTAAAAAAGGGGCTAGTGTTATTCTATTCTATAGCAATGCTGAGGGCTATGCATGCGATTCTATCCATTATTTTCATATTATGTTTTAATAATTACTCAATCCGAGCAATATATCCGTGGTCTATAACTAAACCAAAAGCACCATATAACAAGTTGACGACCCTAACAAAGTGACAGCTTGTCCCGGGATTAGAAAATTTTATTCCAGTGAAGATTCTGAGCATATATAGAATAGGTCGCAATTTATCTAAGTATTGTTTTTTTTCTATTTCTTATTAAAGAATATCGTTGGAGTGAATTGTACCATTGTCTGCTCATATGTATGTTAGGTGCATTCAGTTGCTTTCTATTTATTTTCATTTTATGATGACAACACTTGTTAGGGACTGAGGCGAGTACCTTTGTTATTATTCGGTACGTTGAGAAGAAAAGGGTCGCATTCTGAATTTGTGGAATTGTCGGTGGGGATTACCTTTGTTATTCTCTTAGGAGAAGAGTTAATAAGGCAAGGCAGTACTAGCAGCTAAACTTTGTTGGTATGTAAGCTTAATCTGAAGACGGGGTAATATGCTGTTTATTCCCCTTTTACTGATTGTTTGTGCAACACGTAGTCTGGTTTAAGTGAGGCCATAGGCAGGGCTATACCAGAAGCAGGAAAATATGTGTGGAACTATTCTGAGTAGAACAGTAATATAAGATCAAGTATATAACTTCTTTGTCACGTCTGGTAATTTTACTACTACAGTAGATGTCAGCCTGTCCTTCAACGTTTGAAATGCTCGTTCGCATACTTCTTCACAAATAACTTTCGTAGTAGACTTGGTCAAGTCGGTCAATGGGCTAATAGTTTGCAATATACTGAGCATAATACCCCGGCAGCCTCAAGAAGGATTGAACTTCCGTTTAAGTGGTCGGTTGTACCGCCTCCCTAAGTTGGCCATCTTTAGAACGTGTCTTCGCTGAGGGTGTATCCTTGATAGGTAAGTCTAAGTCGCTCTAAAACCTTTCTCATTAACGTTATATAATCATGCCAGGTAGCTGTCGCTGATAATAAGTCTTCCATAGGCTTTTGATCCAATAGCTTCAAACTTAACTCTCCCAAGTCGGTCTTGCCAGGTTACTGTGTCAAAACACTATAATAGTCTTGTAGTATCTACTTCATCTCCGTACGTTGTTCTTACGTTAACGTCTTGACAAGGACAACTTCGACGTAGGTTTCTACTCTCATGAAAGGTCAAAAGGACTCACTAGCGTATCTCTGCTCTTCGCCACACCACTATGCCTTCCAAGCAGACATTCATGTTTCAGCCATCACTTTTCCTCGCTTAACCCTGGACACGATAACCTATTCAAAGGTATCTGACCCTTTCATGGTTAACTGGTAATATATTATGTAATGAAAGGTCATTATTTTATAATATATATATATATATATATATATATATATATATATATATATATATATATATATATATATATATATATATATATATAATTTGACATGAAATTAGAAGTGTGCATGTAAGGTCCCCATTATGTGTGGATCATATCAAGCACATGTAGGCAATGCCCATCACACTGGTAAAATCACGACAAGGCGTGGACATATAGAGGTTTCTGTTCTGCATACATTCTATAAAGCTTCTGCTTGCAATGTCCATGTTTTGTATGAATGAAGTCATAAATGTGTGTATGCAATAACAGTGATCTGGACAAATCATATTCTATGTAAGACCCATATTCAATATTGGTATCAAAAGTACAGTGAAGTACGCGTTCTGTGTGACAAATTCACCAGTACGCAAATATCCCACATGTTGAGAGTGTCATGTTAAGGTACAAAATGAGACTATTTATTTTTGTGGGTCCATCTTGTTAGTTATTTATTTACCTAGCCAACTATCACTATGTGTCTGTGTCTGTCCATTGTTTACATACCGAGAAACAAGTAGAAAGTGTTAAGAAAAAGACGCAAATAATTAACTATATTTTGATGGTAAAGCAAAGTTTAGATTCGTGCAAAATTGTATACTTCACCGTGCTTTCAGGAAATGAGAAATGAGAGGAATATACTTATGTCGTTGTCGTATGTATTTAGGGTGTCAGCTTCGCTGTCTGGGGACGTAAAATTGTTCATGCACATCTGTGGTTGTATTTGCAATACTGTAGTTGGATTGTGAGAAAGAACATGGATTATTTTCATAAAATGTGTCACCTATTGCTGATTTTCATCAAGCTGCTCTATATTTATATTTTTACGCTATAGTAATGTCCATAAAGACAGATTTTGTTAGCCGGCTCACTGTATAGATATTACCAAATAAGATGTCTCTAGTCTGAATCCTAGCACAAGCTTATAAGCTTAGTGGTTTTTTCCCCGGCTGTTTCCGAACTTTTTTCTTGAAATCATCATAGTTCTATTTTTGTGAAGCAGAGATTCCCAAAGTAAATATATGAAGCATGCAACCTTCGTTAACCTGTCTGATCATTATTCTTACATAATCAACAAAATAAATTAATGTTATGACACACCTGCGAAGATGAATTATCTTTTATATAAATGCGTCATTAATGTTTGAGTACTACTGAAGTTGCACGGTATGGCTTATGTGCTACACCAGCTGTATCCGGGCAGATCTTGCAAGAAAAGATATTCCTTTCTGCAGAACTCATCACTGCTGCAATAAAACTGTTCGTAAATATTTTGCAGCCGTGATTTCTGCGCCACAATTTCTAACGTTATATCTGCACACATAAAATGAGTATCGGACTGATATTTATTTTAATCTGACAAATTGTTAAAAGATGGATCTATTTTCAAGGAAAGAGAATGCCAAAAGGATTAAAAATGGCTCTCAATGACTTTTAACCAATGTACATAAAGCAGCAGCACCCTATAGCTATTTCACTCTGCTGCCTATGAATGAATGAGAAATTGTGAGGAACTGCCGTGGCTCAACGAATAGTTTGCCTAATTGGCAACCGAAAGGGCGCAAGTTCTAATCCAAGCATCAGTTCAGTGATTGTTGGTGACCGTTGTGTTTCTAACGACAAGTCATCAATAATCTTATTTTCTATGCATTAAATAACCTATATATTTTCCTATGTCTTTAAACACCAAACCGAAACAGAGAAAGTTTGTATATTGGGTTTCAGGCGAATGGGGTCGACATTAGTATGTATAGTAAGTAATGGGGTCGGTGTTAGTATGTATAGTAAGTAGCGGGGTCAGCATTAGTACGCATCGTAAATAAATGTATCACGTTTCAGCCAGCGCTGCAAGTGATCAGTGACGTACTAAGGGTAAATGGCACCCAGGGCGATGATGATGGCCCAAATTGATTTTGGTGCCCCAAGGCATTTGCTGCCCAGAGCACCCCCCCCATCCGTCGCCCTCCCCCTTCCTTCGTTAGTACGATAGTGCAAGTGGTGAACTCTTTGTTTGCCGGTGTGTCCCTAATGTGTAGGTATATATTCTTACTCATGTACCTGTGTCGCAGCATTTACGAACAAAAATATATTTGGTTGGAATTCATTACTGCCTGGTGAGGTCGACATTCGGCAAGCAAGTCTTGCGTGCCAGAAGGCATATACTTGATCTCAAACAAAAAGGCCTTTCCTGATATGATATCTTTCCTAATCGTGCCTTAACGACATTTTTATGACGCATCAACTGACATACTAATTATTGCACAGGGTCACCATATACTCGTGTACTGGATCGATGTTAAAAATGAGTTGTACTTCAGTGACAATGAAAGAAACGATATGCAAGATATGAATATTAAAAGATACAATAATGATTCTGCATTTTGTTAAATTTTATTTTACGGAAGTTGTACTACTCGGACAAAAGAAAAACAGTTATAGTATTCTGTTGACAATAGGAGTGTTGGGTTCTTGAGGTGCAGAATATCAAAGAGACACACAGAGTTCCAGTTTCGAACAGATCCATCTAAAAGCTGGAAATAAAATTAAAAAAAAAACAATCGTTAGTAATTTGCATAGAAATTAATTAATTGCTCAAATAGACACAATATAATGGTAAATGATGTTAATCATATATAACATTAAAACAAATCTAATTGACTTTTAAGTTTTCTTTTTAGATATAGTTCATTTAGGATGAAAAGTTTCGTCAAATAGCGAATGATTTAACTGATACAAATTTTTAAAAATGTATTTAATTGGATGATGTGCCTGTATATACAATGTGAACAGGGTTGAAAGGTTGCTTGGATTCGGCAAAATTTATTCCCCTCTTTGTATTGTTTCTGTTGTAATACGATATGCAATAAATTTTACTTTGGTTTTAAACCAGCCAAATTAGGGAGCGCTGTTTGGAAGGAAAAGTGCGTTTTAGTAATTATAATTAAACTGTTAATTACATGCCATCGTTGTAGGGTGTTTTTATAAATATGTCATTTGTAATACAAGTTTTCACTAAGAATGTCGATATCTCTTTGGTTTCTTATCTCTAGCACAACACTTACCTGTGCGTAACACCTCAAAAGTGTAATTGCTAGTGGTCCGGAATGACAGAATATATAACATTTTGCTTAATTGTTTTCAATGAATTATATAATTTATATATCAGGAAAAGTCACCAAATAGCATTAAAACGCAGGAAAATCTTTGGCGATTACAGCTCCGTCCTGGGCATCTACTGGTGGTGGTGAAGAAATTCAAATCACTCCAAAA